CCTCTCTCTCTCTCTCTCAAGTTTATGTAATGTCGGACACAATTATTGCAGTCATCCATCACTTATGCCACATGTTGTTGTCGCAGTTGTTGCCTCAGAGCGGACAGTTCTCATTATTTCCGCCAACGATGACTTGCCCCCGCGTGTGAAAGCACAATGCACCAGCGTGTGAAAGCACAATGCACCAGCGTGTGAAAGCACAATGCACCAGCGAATGGCAAGTCTCGTTTTCTCCCTTTGTGTGCGCTTTTCTTTTCAAAAGCCAAGGCCATCTCGTTCACTGACTTTAGAGTGAACTTTACCTCAATTTTCCACGTAAAGAACAAGTGCAATTAAGGGACTTTACATGGGGATTCCATGGCCACAGCTGTTGCTGCAGGTGTCCGTGTCCAGAAAATGTTCCAGAGTTAAAGTGTCTATGAGAATGTTGTAGAAATCAATGCCTGGGTGCCGTGCTTCTGTTACTAATTAATAATTATTAAAGCACACATCGTAACTACAGCAGTTTTGCGCTAATGCTGTCGGTCAAAATTGGGTCAGAGGATGAATAAGAAAAGGGAAAAATTTACCGTACTAACGTATTGTCATAGAATATTATACAGTTTTATTCAAAATTCTTTTCGTTAATCTTTTCTGCTTTAAATTATTTGTATATTATTTTTTGTCCTTTACTGTCAGCAATACTCTTACATTTAAAAGTTAGCGAATAATACGTTTTTTCAACGGTATTTCTATCGAATGTGTTTGACTAATGAAACGATAAAAACATCAACAGCTGATATCCTCAGTCAAATTCCTATGTTTTTGTTGTTGTTTCTTTTTTAAACTTTTTTTTTCGAAAACCGGCGGGGGATTAGCGCCCTAGGTATTAATAGATAGTGTCGGAGTCTGAACGCTTGGCGCAGTGTTAAGAGTCAACAATTAGGAAGAGGGAAGAAAATAAATAATTAGAGACGATGCAGTAAAACAAAATTTCACATGATTGTGCATCACGAAAAGGTTTGCATCTCGGGTAGATGATGGGGAAATGATCTATTATTTTCCTACCCCCCCCCCAAAAAAAAAAACAAAAAACCTCACACTAAATGCGACACTCTTTATGCCATATATGTCTTAACGCCTATATCTGAAACACTGTACACTTGGACGTATAAGGTAAGTACCGCACTCAATTATCTTTAAATCATTTTTTTTCTGTTTCCAATGGGTTTACGTCAACATATCAAAGGGAGATTGGCTTCAAATTCAATATACCACCAAAGGAAACAGTATTCAACGCGTGAAGCTCTCACGAATATCTAAACATGAGCAGCGTGTATTCTATGAGAGAGCACGCTCATTCATATCACTACAATAGTGGAAAACAGGTCAAATCAGGCGAAAAAAGGTAAATGTATACGTATATACGCAGTCTTTCCGGAGCACTGATGGCGGGCATAAGATTGTAAATCTCAGGAGTCGGGCTGCGCGCCGTGCCTCTGTCGTTGTGCTGGATAAGACGGTGTTGCGAGGGCTATAACTCTTTGTAATCAGAGAAAACGAGGCCGCTTTTCCCCAGGTGTTGGAGCTGCCGACATGCTTATAATGCCGCGCCCACATATACCTGCCACTGTGAGTCATTATATGTAATGTGAGGATCGTAATGGTACTCACGGTAGACACATTTGGACAGAGATGACATTTGCCAGGCCTTATCACCGACGTGATGAATGAAAAAACAAAGTCTGATGAAGATCTAGGTGGGTTGTTTTTTTTCATTTTTATGACCGAAATTTTCTTCTTTTTTTTCCATTCCCAAAGATATAATGTCTTACAACAAGGATCATCTTTCTACACATTTTCCTTTAGAAGTAGAAATCCTGCTTTTTTCTGTTTCGTGTGCTCTTTTTGATTCACACCAATGTCTACTAGTGCAGTGCCTCTTCTCTTATTCAGAGCTATAGGCATAGGTCACAAACCGCGTTCTTCTTGGTCCATCTCTCATAAGACTTCAAATCTTACGCGTCCACCGATGTGGCCTCTCCATCTACGTTTTTGCTTCCCCTCTCTAGTCCCATCTGTCGTTGTTTCCTTTTCCTCCATCTTAAAGGCCGGCCTTTCCCTTTCTCCACAAACAAATATCTTTTTAATTTTTCATATTTCTATTTATTTATGAAATCTTCTGGTTGCATACTTTTCCTATTCAATCCCTTATATCCCTTCAAGGATGAAAACATTAATGTCTCCGATTGAGCAAAAAACTTATTGTCTCGCCTCTTCTCATAATTAGAGCTTTTATAGCAGTCATTTGGAAGACACTTTACACAACATTTGAGACAATATACGTCCACTAAAACAGTCTCAGGATTATAAGTTTCAAAATTCAAATCCAGCTAACAAAATATGAGTATATGGCATACACCTCCATCGTTTCGTCTACGCATCTCAAAACGCCTTTCCTAAACTTTCTTAACTTGTTTTCATAAACATAATCCGACCACACACACACCCCGCACTGTCCAGTCTTCCATACGGCTACACCAGCTCCAAACTGACGTGAGTGTGGTAGGCAGCCGCACCAGGAGAACACTGCAGGTAACCCGGGACGAGCCATTGTTATCAAAGAAAAAATATGTTTCTTTTTTCCGTTATTCGTTCGTCTTTTTTTTCCACAAGTACCAGCGTCTGTCCTAAGGATTAAAAAAAAAAATTTTTGGTAAGTGTTTTACGGCGCACGCAACTTCATAAGGTCATATGACCGCGAAGGGCACATTAAACATTTTCAATTGCTAGGAAATGTTTTAACTCTGCCCAGGT